AGAGAGAGATTTCCAAACTGGGCTGGGGAGGAGATGAGCAGGGGAGAGAAAGAAGTGTTTCTTAGCAGGAGCTCCCTGAGCAAACAGAATTTCTCCCCAATTCCTAGACTCAGGAGTTTGAGAAAAGGATGTGAGATGTCTCAGAAAGACTGGCAGAACTAAATACAACCTGGACACTGGCAGATCCCTCAAAAATAAATACACCCAAAATATGGAACTGATATAACTACAAAGAACACTAAAATTTGCTAAAAGCTTACTTACCCAGACATTTGTAGTAGAAATTTACATAAGAATCTCATATAATATTCAAAGCAACCCTGTAAGATAGGTATCGCACCCTACATTTTGTAAATAAAGAAGTTAAAATTCAGAACTTAGGTGACAAATCTACTACTTGGAATTTTTGCTAAATCTCATGTGCTCCCCACTAAATACAACTTTTTTCTGGCTTAGTGATATTTTATATACTTGAATATTCTAGCACTATAGCTTTATATTTGTATATCACACTCAAAAACTAATTTACCTGAATAAATATGCTTTCATAAAATTCTTTTCTTTTCCACAGTATCTTGATGCTTCTTCTTTGACACAATTAACCTTTAAAAGATTATATTTAATGTTTAGAATATATACCAAAAGGACAAGCAGCTTCTTGGTTAGGAAAACAAGAAGGAAAATTAAACATTGCAATCAGCCCCCAGGTCAAATTTTATATTTTACTTTTTCTGATTCATATGCTATCACTGTTCACTCATTCAAGCGTGTGAGAAAACCCTGAGAAAGAAACAGTTTCTGCACCTAAGAGTGGTATTTAATTATACCTAAGAGCTTACATTTAATTCAATCTTGCAGAACAAGTAGGAGGTAACCAGGTAGAAAAGGAAGGACACATTTAAGGCAAGACATAAAAGCAAGCAAAAAGCCAGGAAGCAGGGAGTGAGAGTTGAGGGGTGAGTACTCAGTATGCATGTGGCCCAGCACCCGCCCCCTCAAAAAAGAAAAAAAGCTAGGAAACACAAAAAAATGAGTGGTAAATTGAGACCATGAGAGCATCTCAGCAGTTTAACACAAACATGTTAAGCTGGAAACACTGCTGGTTTTCTACTCCAAATATATTTGTTTACAACAGAATTTTGCTAAAAGCAAATGCCTGGATTAAAAGGCTTTTCCAGCCTCCTTAAAGCTCAGGATAGCTAAAGAGCGTTTGGAGAAGTCATCAAATTGGGATTTCTAGGAGATTCTTAAAAGGAGACTTACTGATACTCTTGCCTTTCACCACGTCTTGACAAAAAGCTGATAAGACAGTAGCTAGCAATCATGGACTACAAAGCATCTTTAAAAACAACAATGACACACTTCCTAAGGATGGTGTTACAGAAAGAATGAACCTGAGTCCATGGTGTTAGAGTAGCCACATCAGCCCTGAAGAGCTTATAATCTGGACTTTATATCAAAAAAAAAAAAGGCCATGAAGATAAAAGGGAAGGTAAGAAGCACAGAGATTAGGAGATGGGCACATTAATACAGGTCAAAGGTGACTGGGACCTGAAGAAAAGCTGCAAAGAACAAAAAAGATGAAAGAGACTTTTCACTAATACAGTAAGTAAAACTAGGGAGAAGACTGTGTATGCATCATGAGACAGAGGAAAGAGAATGCAGAGGTTTCTAAGTAGGGCAAATGAACATCTACCAACATGACCAAAACTATGGCTTGGGGAATGGCTATTTTGTTATGGGTTTGGTAAGGTTTTCATTTTCTTTAAGATGGGGTTTTTGTTGTTGTCATTGTTCAATTTAATTTTAATAGAGTTTGAGGAAATAATGACAGCTAGGAGAATGACACTTGTTCAAAAAGCTACAAAGAGGGAACTGACTCTGAGAAAAGATATCAGGAATAGAGAATGAGAATTAAAAGTCAGTGTAGCCATAACCCCAAAAAATGAATATTTGTACACATTTTTAAAATTCTAATGTTCAGGGCATAGGGAAGACTGACATTATGACAAGAGAGCCATCCATTCATTCATCCATTCCACATATACCATATGTTAGACACTGTTCTAGTCATTGGAGATACAGTTAAGTCCCACATGAAAATCTTTATCTTTCAAATTTACACATTAAAAGTATAGTCAATTCAAAAGCTAACTAATATACAATGGTAAGTACTATACATAAAAATTAATAAGGGGATAGTACGGGGTAGGGCATTTTAGATAAGGCAGGCTTCTCCAAGGAGGTGACATTGGCACAAAGAACTGAAGTGATACATACAAATACATAAAAACGTGGAACAGATGAATTCTAACCAGAGGGGGGGAAATACCTGCAAAGGCCCTGTGGTAATAAACCTCTAGCAAGCTCAAGTAACAAAAAGATGGCCCACATGTATCAGGAACAAACTGAGCAAGATAGAGGGCCAGAAAATGAGATTAGAGATGAAGCCAGTCTCTACAATACTCAAGTTTCAATTTTATCTTAACTGTAATGGGAAAACTTTGTGAGCAGGAAAGCAATGTGTCCTGACACATCTGATTACATACGGAGGAGAATATGTAATGGAACAAGATCAAAAGGAGAAAGGCCAACTATTAGGAAACTACTGTGGCTTCCCAGATGAGAAGTAATGAAGGAGAAGTAAAAGTGAAACTGCAGGAAGTGGTCAAGACTTGAAAATTTTGATGGCAGAACCTAGCAGTAGATAGACTAGTGATAAGAGAAAGAAAAGTCAAGGATGACTGAATGGTTTTGTTTTTTTTAAATCAACTTTGATAAAGTCACATAGTCACTCCAGATTTCAATTCGGTATCATTTACACGATGTATCTTTTTTCTCTGCTCACTTTAAAGATTTCTGAGGCCCTTATTTTAGTCACACTTCTAAACAACATACAGTTGGATTTGGTTATTATATCCAACTTGAGAATTGGACAATTGGGACAGCTGACATTTAGTCCCACTTCTGTTTTGGAGTTTTCTTCATCCTTCTCTGCCTCTGGCAATCTTAACTTTTGAAGACATTCTCATATACTGCTTTTCTTGAGGTGACTCTCAAGACTCTCCACCTCAAAAGTCAGTTTTTTTCTATGGTATTTTAATTTTATCTATCTAATTACAAGAATCAGGTTTTACTATTTATTTATTTTGGGACATATAGAACTTGAACTCAGGGCTTCATGCTTGTTAGGCAGGGGCTCTGCCACTTGAATACACCCCAAACTCTTTTTTGCTTTATTTTTTAGGTAGTGTCTCACAGTTTTGCCTGGGGCCAGCCTCAGACTTTAATCCTCCTACATGGCCACCCACGTGGCTGACATCACATACCACCATGTCCAGCTTACTGATTGAGATGGGGTCTTGACTGCAATCTTCCTATGCCTCCTGAGTAGCTGGGATTAAAGGCATAAGTCACCACACCCACTGGGTTTTGCTATGTATTAAAAGATTTATGAATATGTTTCATCCTCCCTATAGGGTATATCCTCTCCAAAGAAAAGGACTAGGTCTTAGTCATCTTTCTATCCAAAAAGACCTAAATAGACTAAGTTAATTTCAATCTCACAAATATTTTGAGTATTTCCTATGTGCAAGGATTGAGCTAGTTACTCAACACAGGCCTCTTATTCACCACTATCTCCTTTCCAAATAGCTCTTGACCATAAAATCAAGAGTTTAAGTTAAGAGAGGTTACTGCCTGGACACAAACCTAAATATTCTACTCCAGTTACTAGATGGGCAATACTAGGTGCTCATCTATTAGTTACAGGATTAGCAAGGCGATTATCTCTTTAGGTTTCAAATCAACTGCTATTTCATTTCTAAATTTCAGTCTAAATTTTTATTCAAAGCTCCGGGTACTTTATGTTCTACAGCAAATTCAGTTGTTCAAAGACAACTGAGACCTCTGCACGTATAGAATTGACACATAAAAATAGGGTTTGTGTTATTTTTTTAAAGGAACATAGCTAAATCAACGAATGTTTCTAAGCTTCCTGCACTGGAAAGTATAGCTGCAGAGACAGTGGGAAAAGGCTAAGAAACCAAGAAAGAGTAAATGTATGCGAGAGTCAGGTAGGGCCAGGTGCCAGGGGCTCACACCTGTAATCCTAGCTACTCAGGAGGCAGAAATCAGGAGGATCACTGTTCAAAGCCAGTCCAGGCAAATAGTTCATGAGACCCTATCTTGAAAACACCCATCACAAGAAAGGGCGGGTGGAGCACCTGCCTCACAAGCATGAGGCCGAGTTCAAACCCCAGTACCACCACCACCAAAAAAAAAAAAAGAATCTGAAAGACATTAATATCAACTCACTGGGTTACTTCACGATCACTTTCGTGCAGTACAGATTATAAATCTAAATTAAATGAAAGGCTTATGAAGCTTATCTGATCCAAGATGCAAGTGAAAATTGTTCTTGATACTCCATGGCAAATGTGAACAATTTTTAAGAAAAATTAGGTATGCAGTTTCAATGTACATTGTTTTAACTTTGATACAAAAATAAATAAGTGTGAGAAACTGCAACAAAAACAACTATCAACCAAAAAAATCTTTAATTATGCTATTTTGTTACCTTGGTTTATACTAATAGAAATTTAATAAATAGTTGAATTGTGACTATTAAGAAATATTTGTCAGACAAAACAAAACAGAACAAAAAAATAAAATTATGGATTTGGAAAATGGCACTGTACCTTAATAATAAATGAAATAAAGTTAAATTCTAAGCTAAACAATTTTAAACAGTTTCTTTTGTCTCTGTACATACTATATTATATAGAAAATCTGAAACAATCTTTCTCTTTATCCTTATTCAAAAAATGAAAAAAATATGTTTCTAGTTAGAAAAAAAAGGTATGAGGGGATTCCAAGATGGCAGCTAGAGGGAGGAAGAGAAAGCCTCCTATAGTGAAATTTGGGAGACGCACGCTGGAGACCACTTTGGCAGGGCAAAAACCACCGAGAAGAGTAAAACTTTGACCCTTCACACCTCACAGCCGGCGCAGAAATCCACTTCACGTTAAAAGGAGAACAAGGAGGGCCCCAGGCACAATCGCCGCACCAGACGGCTTGGGAAGACACGGACAGGTGTTAAGCTTCGCAGTACCATGAGTGGTACTCCCAAGACAGCCTGGGCCAGCAGCATAGTCCCTGGACAGACCGAACCTCCACCAGAGGAAAAAAAGGAACTGAGTAATAAGCAATAAGAATAATAAACATGATGGGAAATAGGAGGGTGGGGTGCTTGAGCACTTTGTGACAGACTTGGGGGATAGGGAAACTTCCTCGTGGACACAAATGGTAAGTATGGGCCAACAAGCACTGGGATGGGGCCGGTAGAGCCTCTGTGAGCAGCGTGGGGTGCGGCGCAGCCAGCAAACTACAGGAGCGGGAAAGCCTTTTGAGTAGGTGGTTGGTAAAGGAGGAAAACTCCACAGTGATCAGGGGGGACGACCACTTCCACGTGAACTGTAAACAATGGTGGCTGGCGAGCAGCAGCACCGCCCAGTAATCAGGAGAGGAAGCTTGTAAAGCGCAGTAAAGGAAAACTCAACAGGAGAGGGGGGGAGACCCACTTCCACACATGACTGTAAATAATCACACAGGCTGAAGAAAGTGGATGCAGTGTCACTTTCCCAGTGTGCTTTGAAAGGGGAAAGCTTGCAGCAGAGGCGCACAAAGAAATACTCTGAGTAAACAAGCTGCGGGCCAGGTGAGTGCTAAGCTCCACCTGAGATCTGCATAATAACGCCTCAGCAACAGAGGTGTCAGAGTGCGCAGGCAAGACAGCACAGATAGAACTCACAGAAATGTCCTCAGACTCTTTTTTTTTTTTCGTTTTTCTCCCTACCTTCTTGATGAGAGAACAACCGAATTAAATACATACAATGCTGAAAACTTACTGAAACTGTATTGCATTTGAACTTGGGACCTTGGTGGGTTTTTTTTTTTTTTTGTTGGTGTGTGTGTGTGTGTAGTTTTGATATCTACTTTATGCACTAACCTGAGAACAACCGAACAACATCTGAGGCACCATCTCCGGATTGGAGACTGAGACGGAACCCAAATTAATTAAGACTGAAACTTCATATCATTGTGAACTTGGATGTTTTTCGGTTTTTTTTGTTTTTTTTTAAAATTTTCTATTTTCATTTTATTTTTATTATATTATATTATTCTTTCATTAACTTATATTTTTATTTTTTTTATTTTTTATTTTGAATCCTCTCTTGTCTCTCTAATGTCCTGTTCAGCTTACTGTCATTAGTACTAATGCTCCTGTTTATACCTTTGAAACTTCTTGTTGATTTCCATGTTCTGTTTCTCCTATCTGTTTTTGTTTTCCCTTTTCTTTACTTCTTGCTTTCCATCTCAGCTCACCTTCCATTCAAATATTACCATTGTTATTATTACAAGCTAGAAAATACTTAATTACACACAGTACAGGGACAGAACAACACCAAGACAATGACCGGGAAGACAGAAAAACAGGGAAACCAGTTTCCCCACAGCAAAAAATTAGTACAGGAACAGAGGGGAAAGAAGAAAACAGATACTGAATCAGACTCCAACAAAAATGAAGATAAACTATGCAAAGGACCCAATGAAGCCCACAAGAATAATTTAAAAGAGAATACCATACGTACTCAATGAGAATTTTTATAGAGAATGATACTGGATAGGGTCAACCAAATGTACAGGAGACACCTCAAGAAATTCCAAGACAACAAAAAATAGAGAATTTGAAAAAGCAAAGCAAGAAAAAGGAAACCATAGAGCACTGTATAAACACCAAAGTGAAAGAGAGAACACAATGAATAAATGGATAAATGAACTCAGGAAAAAATAGACAACATAAAGAGAAACACCCAGGATATGGAAAACTTCAGAAAAAAGAACGAAAACAGAACTGCAAAACAACGGAAGGCCAATCCAGCAGAATAGAACAAACAGAAGACAGAATCTCAGAACTTGAAGATGAAATGGTAATTAAAGGAAAAACCGAAGAACTATTAATTAAACAACTCAAGACCTGTGAAAAGAAATGCAAGAACTCACTGACTCCATCAAAAGACCAAACTTGAGAATCATGGGCATCGAAGAAGGAGAAGAGGGCAAGCGAAAGGAAGTGGTAATATATTCAACAAAATAATACGGAGAAATTTCCCACAATCTAGAGAAAGATATTCCCATACAGTGCAAGAGGCCTCCAGGACACCAAACAGACCAGATCAAAATAGAACTACTCCACGACATATCATCATTAAAACAACAAGTTCAGAAACTAAGGAAAGAATATTGAAGGCTGTAAGAGAGAAAAAACAAGTAACATACAAAGGTAAACCCATCAAAATCACAGCAGACTTCTCAACAGAAACATTAAAAGCAAGAAGAGCGTGGGGTGAGATCTCTCCAGGGCACTGAATGAAAATAACTTCAACCCGGGATACTCTAACCCACAAAACTATCATTCAAAATAGATGAGAGCAATAAAAAGTCTTCCATGATAAGCAGAAACTAAAAATATGTGACCACAAAGCCACCATACAAAGATTCTTCAAGGGATTCCTGCACACAGAAAGTGAAACCCAACTTAACCATGAAAAGGCAGGCAGCACAAACCACAGGAAAGAAAAAGCAAGAAAGTAGAGAGTAACATCAATTTAGGTACACACAATCAAACCTTCAAACAACTAAGACAACTAAATGACAGGAATCACCACATACCTATCAGTACTAACACTTAATGTTAACAGACTTAATTCACCCATCAAAAGGCACTGCTTGACAAAATGGATTAAAAAGGAAGATCCAACAATTTGTTGCTTACAGGAGACCCATCTCACTGACAGAAATAAGCATAGCTTAGGATGAAAGGCTGGAAGAAGATTTACCAAGCAATGGCCCGAAAACAGCAGGAGTAGCAATACTTATCTCTTGACAAAGTAGACTTCAAACCTACATTGATCAAAATGAGATAAAGAAGGACATTCCATACTAATAAAGAGGGAAATAGACCAAAAGGAATAACAATCATCATCTGTAGCACCCAATGTCCAACGCCCAATTTCATCAAACATACCCTGAAAGACCTAAAAGCATATATAACTCGAACACAGTGGTTGTGGGAGATTTAACACTCATTATCATCAATAGATGGTCATCCAAACAAAAATCAATAAAGAAATCCAAGATCTAAAATATACAATAGATCAAATGGACCTAGTTTGATGTCCTACAGAACATTCATCCAACTTCTACACAATATACATTCTTCTCAGCAGCCCATGGAACTTCTCCAAATAGATCATATCCTAGGGCACAAAGCAAGCCTCAGAAATATAAGAAAATAGAAATATACGTGCATACTATCTGCACAATGCAGTAAAAGTAGAACTCAACAACAAAAGTAAAGACAAAAACATGCAAACAGCTGGAAACTAAATAACTCATTACTTAATGAACAATGGTCATCATGAAATAAAAGAGGAAATTAAAAAGTTCCTAAGAAGTCAATGAAAATGAAAACAAACCTACCGGAACTATGGGACAGCTAAGGCAAGTCCTGAGAGGAAAGTTATAGCCATGAGTGCATATATTAAAAAGACTGAAGATTCCCAAATCAATGACCTAATGATACATCTCAAACTCCTAGAAAAACGAGAACAAGCAAATCCCAAACAAATAGAAGGAGAGAATAATAAAAATAAGAGCTGAAATCAACAAATAGAAACCAAAAAAACCATCAAAGAATTAATGAAACAAAAAGTTGGTTCTTTGAAAAAATAAACAAGATCGATAGACCCTGGCAAACCTGACTAAAATGAGGAGAGAAAAAACCCAAATTAGTAGAATCAGAATGCAAAAGGGGAGATAACAACAAACACCATGGAAGTCCAGGAAATCATCAGAGACTACTTTGAGAAACTATATTCAAATAAATTTGAAAAATCTAAAGAAATGGACAGATTTCTAGATACATATGATCATCCAAAACTGAACCAAGAGGAAATTAATCACCTGAATAGATCTATAACACAAAATGAAATTGAAGCAGCAATCAAGATCTCCCCAAAAGAAAAGTCCAGGACTGATGGATTCTCTGCTGAATTCTATCAGACCTTTAAGAAGAACTGACACCAACCTCCTTAAACTGTTCCACGAATAGAAGGGAAGGAAAACTGCCAAACACATTTTATGAGTATTACACTTATACCAAAACCAGGCAAAGACACCTCCAAAAAGGAGAACTATAGGCCAATCTCCTTAATGAACATTGACAAAAATTCAACAAAATAATGGCAAACCGAATTCAACAACACATCAAAGGATTATTCACCAAACGAAAGTAGGCTTCATCCAGGGATGGCAGGGGTGGTTCAACATACGGAAAATCAATAAACGTAATAAACCCACATTAACAGAAGCAAAGACAAAAAACCACTTGATCATCTCAATCGAGCAGAAAGCCTTTGATAAGATCCAACACCATTTCATGATAAAAAGCTCTAAGAAAACTATGGAATAGAAGGAAAGTTCCTCAACCATTATAAAGCTATATATGACAAACCTACAGCCAGCATTATACTTAACGGAGAAAACTTAAACCATTCCCTCTAAAATCAGAACCAACAAGGATGCCCACTATCTCCACTCCTATTCAACATAGTACTGGAATTCCTAGCCAGAGCAATTAGGCAAGAAGAAGGAATAAAAGGAATACAAATAGGTAAAGAAACTGTCAAAATATCCCTATTTGCAGACGACATGATCCTATACCTTAAAGACCCAAAAAACTACTCAGAACTTCTAGACATCATCAATAGCTATAGCAAGTAGCAGGATATAAAATCAACATAGAAAAATCATTAGCATTTCTATACACTAAAATGAAAAGTGAAAAGAATGTAGAAAACAATTCATTTACAATAGCCTCAAAAAAATCAAATACTAGGTGTAAACCTAACAAAAGATGTGAATAGACCTCTATAAAAACTTCTGAAGAAAGAGATTAGGAAGACTATAGAAAGTGGGAGAGATCTCCCATGCTCATGGATTGGTAGAATCACATAGTAAAAATGTCATACTCCCCAAAGTAATCTACATGTTTATGCAATTCCATCAAAATTCCAATGACATTCATTAAAGAGATTGAAAAATCTACTGTGAAATTTATATGGAAACACAAGAGGCCACGAATAGCCAAGGAATACTCAGTCAAAAGAACAATGCAGGAGGTATCACAATACCTGACTTCAAACTATTTACAAAGCAATAACATAAAACAGCATGGTACTGGCACAAAAACAGACATGAAGACCATGTGGAACAAATAGAGGACCTAAATAAAGCACACAACTATAGCAACTTATCTTTGACAAAAGGACTAAAAATATAAACGATGGAGAAATAGCAGACTCTTCAACAAAAACTGCTGGGAAAACTGGTTAGCAGTCTGCAAAAACTGAAACTAGATCCATGTATATCAACCCTATACGAAGATTAACTCAAAATGGATCAGGACTTAATATCAGACCCAAACTCTAAAGTTGATACAGAAAGAGTAGGCAACTACTCTGGAGTTAGTAGGTATACGGTAAGAACTTTCTCAATGAAACCCCAGCAGCACAGCAACTAAAGAGATAGCATAGATAAATGGGACCTCATAAAACTAAAAAGCCTTCTGTTCATCAAAAGAAATGGTCTCTAAACTGAAGAGAAACCACAGAGTGGGAGAAAACATTTGGCCAACTTTACTCAGACAAGGATGATACCAGAATATACGGGAATTAAAAAACTAAATTCTCAAAACTAATGAACCAAATAGAAATGGGTAAGTGAACTAAAAGAACTTTCCTCAAGAAAGAAATTCAAATGGCCAGAAAACACATGAAAAAATGCTCACCATTCTAGCATAAAGGAAATGCAAATTAAAACACCTAAGATTCTCACCCTGTTAGAATAGCCATCATCAGGCACACCACCAACAAGGTGTTGCGAGGATGCGGGGAAAAGGAACCTCTTACACTTTTGGTG